ACTTGCGTCATACAGCATACAGCAACAGTATAAATAGAGAGAACCCTGCTTAAATTCCCATTCGGTAACAAAAATCGGTATAAATCGGTATAAAAACTAAAAATCGGTATGCAGAGAAACCATATCTGTACATCGGTATCAAGTTCGAAAATCGTTATATCTGGCAACGCTGTGTGGTGTTTTGCTTATCATCTTGATTGGGTGTCACTTGTATGTTGACAATCCGGCTCGTTTCTTGGCTCTTTGCACTGTTGTGTGCGATATTCCCAGCCAGTCTTATATGCGGTCACGGTAGTCGACACATTTTCTGTGATAATCGACACTTGCAAAACAAGCTATCATAGCACAGTACCAAACTCAAATGTCATACGAAAGGCTCTGTCAAACGACACTGTCGCAGAAGACCGTCACGAATGTATGTATTTTAGTCTTTCTCATAATAAGAGCTGTTGATGTTGTGCTTGTGTGAATTCTGAAAATAGTAAGCAATGATATCCTAGGAATATCAGTTCAAGAACAACATGCGAAAAGGGCATACAAGCTTTTTGTAAACAAACCTTCTTATGCCCTATAGGGCCTATAAAGGTTTGTTTACAAAAATCTTGTATGCCCTTTTCACATGTGGCTCTTGATTTCTAATCAGAAATGGTTTAATTTACACCAAATTGCGGAATTAGAACGAAATCACTCATGTCATATGATAGTTATTTGATAATTTTCTTTTTGCTCGAATGTTATTCTACCGGATGTGTTGTGTGAGAGAGACGACGATAGAGCATGAGTGTACGAATACAAACAGACTGTCGTGCACGACAACGAAGCGAGTGTTGTAAAAACGTCAACTGTTTCAAGCCCTGTTCCTAGCTTCTTTCCCACATCTCTGATGGAAAGGTTAGGATTACACTTGAAAACGCTAGCCATTCTTCTACTAGTCGCTGCGCATCCTGCTTTCGGTTTCCTCCTAAGCCTGGTTTCCTAGAAGTCGTCAGACGTTCCCCGAACACTTTAAGGTTCAATTTACTTTGATGCTTTTTGGAAAATTTCAAAAGCAGTTTTTTCCGACGCATTATTTCAGATTGCAAAAAGCTCGCACTATTCGATTCCTTTTGATATTTTACACAAAATGACGCGAGCTTTTTGCAATCTAAAAGAATGCGTAGAAAAAAACTGCTTTTAAATTTTTAAAAAATGTATCAAAGTAAATTGAACCTTAATAACGTGTCAACGATTTTCCAAGTCTGCGCGAGCAAAAATTTTATACGCTGTTCCTCTTGCTTCGACGCCATTTTGAAAACTAAATATTAAATGGCAATAGCAAAATAAAGGCAACATTCCGTCCGCACACACTCACAAAATGAGGGGTGTTCAAGTGTTTTAAGTGCAAAATTTTCGTCGACAAATTTTTGACCGTTCCACTCTTTTTTCAAAAAATTGCTTTCAATTTTTTTATTTATTGAATTGCCCTTCTGAAAACTCTATATATATTTTCCTTATTGGAATAATGTTTGGTGATTTCAATACTCTCCACAAGCGAAACGGTTGTCCGTTTGGATACACTTTTTGACAATCCGTTTGGCCTCCGCTGGATTCGTCTTCGCCAGTCTGCGTTTACTATACTGCCTATAATCGCATATCAGTCCCATATGGATTTTCGTAAATTTTGAGATAACAATGCTACCTACTATCAATTGATATCTACTTTCATATTATGTGATAAAACTGCGGACTTTGATCATGAAAAATGTGAAAACAACATCAAGTCAGTTTGTCCCATCATGCAAAGTAATCGCATATCAGTCCCATTATTAAATTCAATCGTCCAGAGGTGAAGTTACAGTTTACTTTTCGAGTTGCCATATTTTTTCTGATATAACATAACATGCAAGCTTCAATTTTAACTTGAATTTGAACTTGACATAATTCAAGCACAATTTTAACTTGAAATAAATAATAATAATTTTACTATGATTTTTCAAATATGGGAATCGCATTTCGTACTTCGATTGCCATTTTCTCAATGCCTACTTTTTCCATATGGGACTGATATAGCATTATAGCAAAGACATCATATCAAGAAGACTGGCAACTCTGCCAGAATCCAAGCGACAGATACAGTAGCACTGCGCTTGAGTGAAGGTGGAAGCAACGCATAGAAAAATGAGCAAATACACAAACCCTTCGTCTGAGGATGTAATCTTTGCTATCAAATTCGTTCGAAGCATTTACCTTTGAGCGGCAGATGACGCAATTGTACCTGTCTCATAGCGTTCGTATGAGAAAATGGAAGAGTTGCCAGTCTTCTTGATTTGTTGTCTTCGATTATAGGCAGTATACCGTCTGTAATTTTTAGATATTTTAAGTTTTTTGGAAACAATGGCTATTTTAAAGTTTTTCGGTTTCAGTTAATCATGCAATTTGGCGATTTAAGGTGATTCGCTGTGACACCTGATGTCAGTATCAGTTCACACTGTTATAATATCCATATCATTCGCCTCAATGTCAGTGTTCAAATGACATTGACATCGTAAAGGGACCACTAATATTCAAAGTACTACCGCAAATGTTTCTTATATACGTCAGCTAATCGAGTACCGATCTTTATAAAACTCATCAGGAATATTAAAACAATGCAACGGTTATACAAAAAAGTTGATTTATCGGGATAAAAGTAAGATTTTAAACTTTTCCCTTGTGATATTCATATGGATAGTAATATCAAAGCCGTACCTATGCCGTATTATGCTTACTACGAATATCAGTGTCGGAAGTGAAATTCAGTGCTAGACCAATATCTTACGTCAATTGACATTGTTGGCAGCACGCAGCACTGACATGAAGTAGCAATTTCAAATGAAATGGTGCACTGATTTCCGAGATTTGCGTAATTGAAAATTCGAAGTGGAAGTGCATGTATAGCCTAAAGACTGGAACTCGCAAAAATTGGTCGACAAAAAAAAAATTTCTTTCAGTCAAAATTTATATCACAAAAATCTTCTTATTTTTCTTTTGGTAGTTCAATTCATATAATTTAAGGAAAAAATGTTCGTTTATTCTTTTGGTTTGCCAAATCCGAACTGCCGTGCCTTCCACTTAACGCCAGGTAGATTTAAACTGCTGCTCGTTTTCCATGGATTAGTTTTTTTGAGATTCCGTTTGACCAAGGCCCAATACCGTTCGATAGGGTGGAGTTCTGGGCTGTTGGGAGGGTTGGTTTTTGGGTACGTTGTTCACATCGCACCACTAGATTGCCTTTTTTGGTCACTATGGGGGCAGCTCGCCAAGTCCGGCCAGAACAGCACAGCTCTATTATGTTGCTTTAGGAATGGTAGCAGCCGCTTTTCCAGGCACTCCTGGGCGTAGATCTCTTGATTGATGTTTCCCGTCGTAATGAAAATGCATATGGCCTGCCAGACGAGATATTTAGTAGGGAACTTCGATAGTTTGATGGTTTTGAAAATTTCAGCCACCTTCCCTTTTCCTAAGGCGGGATAAAACTCCTGTCCCAGAAGCTGCTTGAAATCCGCCTTCACATAAGTTTCGTCGTCCTTGACGGCACAGTCGAACTTTGTGAGCAGATTCGTGTACAGCTTTCGGGACCGCTGCTTTGCCGACGTGTTTTGTTTGTAATCTCGGTTCGCCACCTTCACCTCCTTAAACGTCGACAACCCTGCTCGTTTGTTGGCCAGCTTCACAGTAGTATGGTAGACATTGAGCTTGCCAGCGACGTCCCGGATGGAGAGGTTAGGATTCCGCTTATATTTCACCGCCACTTTCTTCGTCGTCGCTGCCACGTCCGGATTACAATTGCCGCCGCTTCCAGGCTTCCAGACGCTCCCCGAACACTTTTAAAACGTTTGTCACGGTCGATTTGGCCACATCCAACAATTTTGCTAACTTGACGTTTGACAACGTCGGATTCTCTTGCTGCGTGAAAACTCATCATAGCAACCATATACACTCAACTTCCAAATGCAGCATTTCAGGTTTTTTATGCATTTTTAACAGAAGTACACCAATTTGAAGTTGACCAATTTTTGCGCGTTCCAGACTTAACGTAGCGGCCATTTGTGTACTCAACAAGGAATCACCTTGAAGCCATTTTATGAGCATCCAGGGGGCAGGACACCTTAGCTGAATATATCAAAATAGTTTTTGATATTTTCATTTTCTTGATTTTGACTTAAAAACAAAAGTATTCATAGAACAAATATTGTTCAGTACAAAAAGCTCTATCGTTTACATTTATTAGGTTTTAAAAATACTTGACAGTTTACAAATTCTTTTATCCTCGTCTCCTCGTCTCAAATACCCCGTCATTTACACATGTTCTTTGGAGTTTTTTTTGTCATTTTGGCCTTACAACATTTGCAGGCAATATTGGTGGGTCGCGAGATTATGAAATGTGTCAAAGTGGGTCGCATTCGATAAAAGTTTGAGAACCGCTGGTTTAGGGAATATTGATCATGCTTGAATGAAGGATTTCATTCATTAACATTAGGGATCGTCTTAGACATTCCAGGAAATCTAGGGAATCTCAGAAAAGTTCAGGCCACTTTAGGGTGTTTGATTTATATTATTCAACAAGGTCACACCTTACTATTTTCATTATGATTACTGTAACAGTACCTGTTCATTTTATCCCAGCTATTCATTTTAACCACCGTTTACATAATCTTTTTTTTTAATTATTCTCCAAAGTTTCCCATTCCTTTTTCTCGTCCAAATCATTCGCAGTTTGAGTTTTAATTGGTTGCTTATTTTCTCTGTGTTCTGTTTTGCTATCACAATTCTTCGATTTCATTTAACTACCATTTGTATTGTGCTTATATATTTTTTGTTTTCCTATTTATTCCATTCACGAATTGCAAATTGGATCGTTATAACTACTTTTTTTCAACCCGATATAAGCTAAATTGTATCAAACGGTCCCCGTAAGAACGGGTAGTGAAAGTATATGATTTCCACCGTGCTGATCGGTTCGTTATTTTTCCCCATTCCAGGAAGCAACCGCCATGAATCCGGATATGACCGTAGAGAAGATCGAAATCCAGCAGCAAACGCAGTAAACGAACAAAAATATTAAAAAAAAGGTAAGGTCTGCCGAGCATGATTTTGACGATTCAAAACTGGAACCCTCGGGGCAGGTCTGCGCGAGTCACGTGCAAGAATACAGCATGCTTTTGTCCGGCTGTGTGTAGTAAACCGGTTTCTACACAGAAATGTCATCACAATTTTCACACACTATTGTTTTACATTTTTTTTTCTCGACGCGAGCTAATTTTAAGTATGAAAGTATAAATAGTTGAATGCGACATGCCGACGATTCCGCGACGAATGGCGAAAAATAAGGACAGTTGTTCTAGTTTAAGCATTTTCTAATTTTAATTAACGAGAGGACAAATATTATATAAAATGATAAATACAAGAAAAAACAATCAAATCGCTTTATGTCTGACTATGTTGTTCTGCTATTGGAGAAAAAAAATAACAATGATAAGAAGCAAAGTTGTTGAACAATATTTAACAATATTTACACACAAACACATGAGAAAGGAAAAAAAAATCAAGAAGCTTATATTATTGATTGATGGAAGCAGTCTATATTTAGAGAGAGAGAGAGAGAGAGAAAGAAAAAAGGGCAGAGGAAATATTATTCGAGTATTTGCTTTCAATGTTTCATGTTTGCAAAGCGGGAAGTTGGAAACCATTTTCCCGAGAGGACGAGATCAATGCTAAAATATTGCTGAACGTTGACAGAGAAAGAGAGATTCGTACCAAGCATTTCGTCGTGCTCCTTTATCTACACAACAATTGACATTATACATATAGCGATCGTAGCTAAAATTTACATCATATATCAAACATAGTTGCATACTTTTTCCAACCTCTCAATCGTCTTACCTCTTTACCAACAAACAAAGTAAATCCTAGTTCTCTTGCAAAATTTGCCTGAAAGAAAGTATATGAATTAGTGGAATTTTTAGCTGAACGTATTTAACCAACAAAAAAAAAACAACCATCATCGTGTTCACTGAATGGCGATTTACGAAGGCAGTATGGGAAAAGGAATCAATCAAACGTACGACCAAAATCATTGCAATAACGAAACCGTGGATAAAGAGTTAGTGATCGTGTTAGCTATCAGCTGGAAGCAAAAAAATGACGGAGCGAACGGATAATAATGAAAAGATAAAAATCGTTGCCTTATTTGTAATCGAATTTCTCTCTTTCTTCGACTCGTTTCACGATCGTTTGCAATCTGTGTAGATTCTATATGTGTACTACTACTATTAACTGCTACTATTACAACTATCTATTACTGTGTATTTCTGTACGTCTATTTATTTCCTAATTTTAATTAACATTCCGAGAACGAAGAAGCAGTCGCAGAAGCTTCCGCTTCCGAGAGGAGCAATAGAACAGATCGAACGTACTAAGTTATCCGTTAACAGAACCCCCCTTAACTTATTCTCTATCCGTGTAGAATTCTTCTGTTGTTTTCCGTTATTTGCTTTCCTCTTTTGAAAACAATCTTACATGTCTCCCGATAAAACCTCTTTTTTAAAAAGTAGTTTGTTCATTTAGGACAAAGGATGTTGCGTATTTAAAGGTTTAGTCTGTGACCTTTTAGAACAAAAATCGAAACAAAACACACAATCATATATTTTTGTAACCAAGCTTTTTGCGCGAAACATTAACGTTAATGAACAATGAGGAAGTGTACTACAACACCATTTTGCTTACGACCACCAGTGTGTAATGTTTGATCGTTTCGTTTAGGACTATCGTATAATTGTCATCCGAAGTGCAGATTGCCAATTCGGTGCCCAAGTTGGGTTTTTTTTCCTTAGTCATCACATCCTCCTTATAGTGTTTGTTTTCAAATTAATCCCATGTAATCCGATCCTTTCGTTTTAGTTCTCAGTTAGTTGACCTATCATTACCTACAATTTAATAGTGACAAGAGTTTTATAAGTAGTGTAGTTTCTAGCAACCCTTCTGTGTTTTGTCCAACTCCTTTCTTCCCCCCGAAATCATTATTTCCTTGTTTTTATGAGAGATTTATTTATCGCAAAGTAAGAGAAAGCTATATTAAACATTTAAAAAAAAAATAAAAAGCAAATCTTCATATTAGGTTTTAAGCAGCCATTTGAATGTTGTCAACAAACATGAAAGAACCCAGATGCAAAATCGATTAACCGCACTTTGGCTAGTAGCAGAGAAAAGAAAGCAAAAATTATTAAATGAAGATTGCTAAAGCAAAAATGATGACCGCTAGCTAAAGCAGAAACTTCGGATTCAGCTAATCTAAATGTATCGATCGGCATACGAATGCAAAAAAAAATAAAAACAAGCAAAAGAAACAGAAAGTAAAGTGACTAAGTCTAGCTTATGTGAAAAGTAAATGCACACTGTTGTAAGGGAGTTTATTTATGCCGAAATGACCAGCGACCGTTGAACATGAGCCAATGATGACCCCGTACAATTCGTAGTTGCTACTCCGTGATTGGTCAAATCCACAAGTGGGATTTGCAGGGCCTATATTGGAACAGGCGCGGATTTAAACTTTCAGTCGTGAAAATATTGGAAACATTAACCCTTTCCTTGTCATTGTCGGTGTTTTTTTTCATAATAAAATAGCGTGGACCCCCGTTAATCTGAACGACACCGCGTGCATATTAACGGGGTTAATCTTTAATTTGAACTTCTAGTACCCCCGTAACGTGGGTAGATCACCTTTTCGTGGTACGTTACGGGATGTAAGATCTACCACCGATTCCTACTCCTGACTGTTTCAAACTAGGGGAACAGGATTTTTCAGTAATCAAAGGAACACATCTTAGTCCTTGTTACTTGTTATGCCTTGTTGATAGTGACAAGAGTATCGGCTTTGTCCACCGAGGATGATCTTGAAACAAGGAAAAAACTACAAGGGACAACCCTATGGGGTTGTATGCAATGGTGACGTAGGACTACGTGGTCTTATATAATAAATCTTATTTGTTAACTGCAGCAGGAGCTTGTGTTTTGTGTAGGAATAGGAATTTGAGCGGAGTTCTCTCTGTTTATACTTTTTAGTATGACGGGCTTGACATGGATGACCCACAGCGACTCACGAAGAGCTTTAATTATCTGGTAGGGGTCTTACCCTACCTGATGGTGATGTTGATTTGCGTGAGCGAGCCTTGACTATCAAGACATCATCGAAAGAAGTCATTGTTTACAAAAGCTGTTACGCCCTAATTACAGCTCTATCTTGGGAACTGACATCCGATTGAAGGCCTTTAACAAATGTGCAAAAATACTAAAATTTATGGTGGTCCTAAAAAAGGACCATTTTGTCGTGATAGTTGAGTTATGTTGAGCTATTAGGGTGTTAACGCAGATGAGGCTGGTGAGCTGTATGTTGTTTGGAATGAGGGTGACGCGCTTGGCATAGATGACCCACAGCGACTTACGAAAAGCTACTGATTCCGATCAATAGAGGTGTGGCTTCTTTCACCTTCTAAGTATGCTCATGTGGGCAGCAGCTCGCTGCTTGCAGGTAGTCTTTAGTCCACGCGCCGAAAGCACTGCTGCTGCTGATGCCGACGACCGGACACCATCACACACGGTGATTGGAACTGAATCCGATCAGCCATGATAGCTAGCTGCTTGCGGGGAGCCTTTCGTTGTGTACTGGAGAACACCACCACTCACCACGCGGTGATTGAATAAACATCGTTTGGTGAGACCGGATGGAATTCAACTTTGAAATCTGTGTTAGGGAAATCGCTTTTCGCAGGCAATCGGTAATAATTTTAATTATCATAGCAACAGTTGCACATTCGTGCAATTTTCAAAAGTGACATTTTGAAAAATGATAAAGTCTTAAACTACGAGATGCGTAGAAATATTGCTTATCGATTGGTGATAAAATTATTAAAATTGGTCTAGGGGCAGCTGAGTTATTAGCGTTCAAAATCTTTCATAATGTTGTTACATGTTCGATTTTCGGTTTTCACAAAGTGCACCCCCATATAGAAATCACAGACGTAGTCCTACGTCAAAATGAGTTAGTTAGTTTTCATCTATGGGTCATTCCAGCTCCAGTGGGTACACCACCTTAGAGATGGGCGATCCGTTGCCGAGCTCTTCTATATACCCGATTCTCTAAAGTGACCTGATGACCCGCAGTTTATTTTTTAGGAACCGCAGCTCATCAGCTCACTGATATCACAAGTCTAAACCATTCAATCCATCACTCATAGCGGAACTTTTCAAAAAGGACCACGTAAACCAAGACGCATGCACAATACAACATATATGCCTATTGATCGACAGCACCAACGGTAAAAGGAAACTTCCAAGCGGCTGTTTGAGAGAGAGTGACATATGTACATGTGCTACGCGATGTTCATTTTCTACTGGTATTATGCAATTTATGTATGTACCCGGCTCTTATTGCTGATATTATTCCTCCAACATATGTGCTCTCACCTCTCCTTCCATCATTCTCTGGGGGAGCGGAAGATCCGCACAAAAGCAAATAATCGAAAATCGAAATGCAGCTCTCCAGCTTATCAGCTCAGCTCCGGATCCGAATCATCGACTCGAATGATTCACTGGAAGCTGTTTAGGATGACAACTCTCGGATCCGTCCAGCTCTTGGGATTTTTTTCTCTCTCGATTCTTCACTATTCAGCTCCGGATCTGGTTCTGAGCTGATGATCTGGAGCTGAAGCCGAGAATAGTGAGAGAAATTCTGCTGGAGAATTTATATCAGAAATAAAATCTGTATGTATGTTTACGCGATGCTGAGCAAGTCGTTAATTAGAAAAGTCGAGCTATGTTGAAAGGTACGGATTTATTGGTTTAGACTACACACTTAGATTATTTAACCGAAATCTGTGAACTTTTACCGAAATCTGAACAGCTCAACGTTCGGTTAACAGTTCGGTGATTTTTCACAAATTTTCTGTGATTTTTCACGGAATTCGTTGAAAAATTACAGGATAACTGTGAAAAATCACCGAACTGTTTACCGAACGTTCAGCTGTTGAGATTTCGGTAAAATTTCACAGATTTCGGTAAAATAATCTATGTGTGTACTTTTACGATTGTATGCAGCTTTAAGCACTAAAACCACTAATTAATTTTCCGGTTTTGAATTTGAGTCATAATTTCTATAATTTTAATGGCAGTTCTGGGTAGGATTCTCATTATATGAAATCATAACTTCTGTTCATAATTTAATTGTGGTCCTAAAAGTGAAAAATACGTTCCTATGGGATACAGCCAAAACGTGCTTTAGAAGTACGATGAAATGCCGGCGCCGGTGGTGTAGTGGTAAGCGTGACTGCTTTCTCACCCCAAAGAGTCTGGGTTCAATCCCAGCCGAGGTCGGTGTGATTTTTCTGAGTCATAAAAATCTCTGGTCACGTCTTCCTTCGGAAGGGAAGTAAAGCCGTTGGTCCCGGCCCATGTGTGTTTGAATGGGTACGATACCCTACGCAGGTGTGGTAGCTGCCTTCCTGCACATTCGATTGCCGTCAATGGATGGCAATCGATGTCCGTCGGTGATTGGCACTAGATTGCGGAACAGAGACCGACGTTAAATAAAGGAAAGAAGAAGAAAAGTACGATGAAATCAGATGGATTAGCTACGATGGAGAGGAGCAACAGAATAGTTGGCTAAAGTAGAATTGCATTATAATACACCATCGACTGGAAATGCATTCGGCAACGTGGGGCTTTATGTAGTGATGAAACGTCGGTAGAACTATTCCACAGCCGCAGGCAGTATTTAAGTAAAGACAGGTGCACACTTTTTGCCTGTAGATTTAAAGACAAAGAGTGTGCGTTTGTCTGTGTGACTGTCGAATTAGTGGCCCTTCGCTCATTTTCAACTTCTACTCAATTTTCATACTGCCGTACTCTAACGGAACTATTTACCTACCCTCTTGTAAGATCATTCTCTAGCTAAAAAATTATCTCACTAAAGCTTCATGTTAGATAGCATTTCCAATCATCTCTGGATTACCAGAGATAGCAATCGCCTATCTAGTCGAAACACAGAAAACGAAACTAACTCAGAGAGTGAGTAACTTTTGCTCATTCATAAGGATACATTTCTAAATGCGTCACTTAGCCCATGAGTAACCTAAGCAATAGTGACTCACTCTCTGAATAAGATTCATTTTCAGTGAATGTAAACTGCTTAAGCCAGCCTTTTGAATCAAATGTTACTTGCGCTGTATGGTGACTGAATTCTGAACTAAGAGACCAATCATGCGATAGGTATTGTCCATCCGAATAACTTCACTGAATACAGAAACCTACTTTCTGGCCGTGCTGTCAAGTTAAAACATGGAATTTGTTGCAAATTGCACACTGCGCTTGACTATCCAACATCCAATTTCTAGCCGAGATGGCAAGCTAAATACATTGAAAACGAATAATACTCAGAGAATCAGTTTCTTTTACTGACTCGTATGGAGATTTTTTTTTAAATCGTAGGTTACTCATGCGTTGAATAACCTACGCTTTAAGAAAAATTTCATACGAATGAGTTAAAGTGACTCACAACTGAGTAAAAGTTATTCACTCTCTGAGCTAGTTTCGTTTTCAGTGTGCAACGCAACTAA